ATGGATAATTCACGAATTCATAGATACTTTACAGTTAACGTGCTTTTAAAACAATAATTAATAATAATAAATAGTCAACTGAAATCGCCGTCCAGAGTATTATAGAGTTGATAAACCTTGATTTTTTTTTTTTAATTTTTTTTTTCATTCAAACTTCAAGATATAAAGTTTTAGATGTATGTGTAACATCTGGATGCATGACTATATGGCCCACAACACAATATCCATCTAGATAACATCACAACTCTAGAATTGAATAGACAATAAGACAATGCATATGAACAAAAGTGTCTAAAACTACACTATATACCTACCATATTTACGGATATATCTAACTGATTGCCCTTCTCATAGGTTGTACACAAAATCTTATTTAAAAATCATCTATGCTATCGAAGGCTTTCCTAAAAGTTGTAATTAAGTAATAAGGGTGGGTTTATATAAAAATATATAACTTTGTGAGTACAATACATTCTAAATATGAAAAAACACAATGGAAAAAAATTAATATCAATCATGAATATTGTAATGATTTATAGATAAAGATGACATTTGACATAGAAATTATTTTCCTGCATAGATCATAGAATGAACACAATAGTTCTTCAGTAATTATATATACTATCTTGAGAAACCTAATAACAATAGCCTGTCTTGAATTAATCAATCATTGGCTGACAGCACAAATGAGATGCAACTTATACATGTGAACTATCTCAATGACATCAAGGAGCCCTGACGCATCATTGGCTCATTGCCTAATACACCTCTCCTCAATACAAGTCTAGTGTAGCTCATACATCTAAAATTCTGAGTGGAAGCAAGGTTATAGTAATAAAATATATAAATATATTAGCATACCCAAATAGTACCATAATGGAGGCCTATCTATAACATGCACACATAATCATTAATATATATTGAATATTTCCTATGCAAAAGACTTCTCATGTGATAGTTTCGTTGATAGGAGCATTTGACTTCGAATTTGTATCTCAAAATTATAACAATATGTGCTTTAGAGTGTGGGGCATTACTACCTATGACCAACAATGGCACATAATTACATTGATATAAGCAAGGGGTGCATTTAACGACCCACCCAGCAGTCTCATTTACTACATGTTGGATCATCATCATGGTTTTAAGTTGCTATTTGATGATGGCAACTAAAATGTTTTGACCAATCAAAAGAATCAAAAGAAAGAGGTGATAACCCAACCCTTGCATATAGATCCGGTCACTAGACAGATAAGTTGTCTAATATGATTGACTTGATCTAAAAAATATTGAGCTTGTACAATATAATAATCATGGCCCGCAGCTCTATGTTGGCATATCCCATTGAAATAACATCACCAAATTGATTTTAGGCAATCATGCCATAATTCACCCCGCCTAACCCAATGAAATTAGCTATGTATTAGTTCGGCCAATCTTCACTCAAAAAAAACTTGGGCTTGAATTTTTAACCTTCTTACAGGACTATATAGATTGTAGGGTTTATGCAAGCTCTGCACTCCTTTGGCCCAATCTAACTCATCTAAAACCCTATCAAACTCACTAAATGCCTACATCTATGGGAAATGCCCATCTAATTAGAAAAAGGAATCTAAATTAAAAAAAAAGGAACCTCAAACTATGTTAGTTGATCACTCTCAACCAATCCAAACCTAGTTCAAGCAAACTTTAAACAACTTTATACTGACAACACCCTCTCTTTCTTCCAAACATCCTCAAGATGCTATTTGATCGATAGCCATTACCAAGGTATGCCCACTGAGGATTAATTATCATACATGAACTCCAAAGCACCTACTAGTTATCATCTCTCCTTCATTTATAGCGAACAACATCTCATCCTAGCATAAATCCCAAGGCAAATGTATCACCAAACCAAGAATCCCCTCCACCCCCAAGTACATCATATTTGGTGTGAGTCCTAAAAAGTTTGCTTAGTCTGATTGTCATATACACATGGGATTTTCAAAGAACCGAAAATGATTTGGGTTTCATACAACATAGAATCACTAAATATATTTTTGATACCAATATGGTGCAACCTCCTTAATTGGATTACAATTTCCACGTAACTATTTTGGGAATCCAAGAACACACCATATCCATAAATAGAGTCTAACATGTTAATATTTCTACTCAATATTTTAATCAATTCACCCTTTTCGTCCAAAGAAAGTAAGAGAGAAAGAGAGATAAAATCCTCTCGCATTCTCTTCAATTAGACATTATTCAACAGCAGCCTAAGCTCAGATCCTAGCATCCCCATACGAGAGAATAATTTAAGTTCCAACATTCTGTTATTGTTTGGATAGAATGTGATTTAAAAAAAGGTTGGCCTCAATCCTCTTGACATGCACAAAAAGGATTTTCAAAATGGAATAATGGCTATTACACGATTTAAATTTAAGCTATATGCTTAAGGTGACAATCATACATTTTGAGAGCATGTCATCTATATTTTAAAATAAGCGAACATATAATTTGATTGCATGGTGGTGCAAAACGAACATCTAGAAATACAAGGGTATCTATGTCATCATTAGTCATGACCACCCTAGCTTGCATTTCTAAATTCTCTTTAATTAATATAATGAGATTTGATTATTCTTAGAAATGATCCCTTACATGTTTCTATCTAAATTATCAATCTTAAGGTTTTCCCAATATTGATATTGAGAACACCTACTTTTCTCTCTAAAAATCTTACAATGATATTAGCCTTTAATAGGAGTAACATAGTCAAGAAAAAAGAAGTCATGAGCTAACAAGCCCCTTTTTTATCTCACAAGGTAATAAGCCTAATATCAATTCCAGCGTCGAAGTTCCAGTACTAGTGAATGAATCTTACATGGTTTTCTCATTTAAGCGGATGAAGGCATAATATTGAAAAACTTGCTTTAGACTCAAGGATCCTTTCTCTCAGTCAACCAAATATCATGGCAATCTCTCATAAATTTTATCAGGCACTCTAATGAGTATTAAATTTTTGCTATTGTAGATAGAGAGCATAAATGCAGCAAAAGTGACGTACCTGAGGAAAATAAGGTGCTATCTTACATACTTCCTTAGCATCTTCAAGAGCACCATCATTGTCTCCCATTCCTAATTTAGCAGCTGATCTGGAATAGAATAAACAATGCACACATAAGCCAAAATACCTATAACCAATTTAGTATCACTCAAGCACTTTAAATGGGATTTCGCGTTCAGCTTACAGCAGAAAGTAAGAACAAAAATTAATATAAGGGGAAAAGAATCAATCATTTACTTATCCAACGAAACAATACCTGGCTTTGTAGATGAACTGCAAACCTCCGGAAGGATTAAGCTCAATAGCCTGGTATAAGGCACCCACCAAAAAAATAAATATCTAGTCTATTACTTGTTCTAGGGTTTGTTAGTAAGAATACTTTGTTGGGAGTAAATAAAGAACAAAACAAACAAAGAAAACAAACAGCGGAGAAAGAATATCATAATTTAACGTGGAAAAACTCAAAAACAGAAAAAATCACATAGTCATATTAGGCCAAGAAATCCACTATGAAAATTAGGAGAAATTGTAGAGATCTCTCTCGTTCTCTCACAGTCTTCACGCCCTTTCACGTACGCACACACACTTTTAAGGATGCAACCATATAAAAATTGCAGGAAAGAAACTGGCTCAGTCGGCCAGCATCGCCGCGACGTTTGACCCATAGCACCTTGCTGCTAGGTTCTCTGTCCCAAAGTGGGTCCACAATGCCATCGTGTTGTGTTTACAGCACTGTGACGATGTGTTCACAATGCCTTGATGTTGAGCTCTCTATCCTAGAAGATCTAAAACACCTTGGCGTTGAATTTACAGCGCCATACATAGCGCCACGGCATTGTATGGATAGACGTAATTGAGATTTGAGACACCAGTACAACCCGATTGATAGACACATTCAAATTCCACAGAGAACTAACATAATTTTCTTGAGTAAATTTGTAAATATAAATTTAACAAAACTGGAGTTTTGAATCCTGAAAACTGTGCCATCAATATCCTAAATTTGAGTTGAATATGAAAAAATTTTGGATGCAACTTTGATGATCTACAAATTTCTTAAATCCTACATCCTAAAATACCTTGAATCCTGCTAGTGACATGATTTATGAGATTCCAGATTTTATCCAAATTCTAAATTTATGAAACTCAGGATTGAAGATAGCCTAAAAAACCATTTGGCTAAATTCACCCTGAAGCTAGCCTAAATCCTGAATAAACCATTTCAACCAAAAAACTCCTAAATATTACCGAACAATCCAATGCTCACAAAGGTCCCTCCTTTCCAAATCCATTAAACCATGTGCCCAAGACACTCACCTGATTCAGCAGCGCCAGGGCCTCAGAGGCATTGCCTTTCTCCAATTCTACTTCCCCCTTCTTCCTTAAAGAAAGAACCTCCAGGTTCCTCCACGGATCAAATTCATCACCACAGATATCAGCAAGCAGCCGAGATGCCCTCGCCGGCGTGCTGCAGTGGCTTACGATGCCACCGCCAGGGAGAACTACCAGATTGGGGCCGGCACCACAGCGACCTAGGCAGCCACAAGAGGCGATGGAAACGCCATGAGGCGCGATGCTCGAGAGGACTTCAAGCGTCTCCCTCGAACCTTGCTTACCGCAGCTACGGTTCACGCAAACCCTAAGCTCGGTCACTTCCGCTGATCTCGCGGCGGCACAACACTGATGAAAAGAGGAGAAAAGGCGTGGTGGAGTTGTGGGTATCCCACAGCCCGTGAGTGTTGCTGGCATGGCGAAGTCACGAAATTGAGCCGATGGGTGGAGAGACAAGAGTTGCTAGCGGGATCGTATGGATAAGGAAAAGAATAGTTGAGTTGCTCCAATGGATGGGGGATTTTATTTATGATTTTTGTGTTAGGGCCCGTTTGTGGCAAAATTCTTTCATTATTTTAATTTTCCAAACTATCGAGATCGATGTATATATCTATATATATTGTGAATGGGGTATCCATTTGCTGCATTTCCGAAATGGTGCTTGGTGACGTGATTAATTCTCGACTGGTCTAAAAAGGCACCCACCCCAAAACTTGCTGGCCCGTTTTTTATTGGGCCCCACTTAAGAGTGCCGCCGCTCGAGGGAAATCGATTTCTACTTTAGTATTTACAAAAAATTTCACCAATATTTTAATACTTTATGCTTCTTTTTATTATTATTATTTGATGAAAACCATTTTTTATAATAAGATCAATGTAGTTTTTTTTTTAATTAAAATGTATTATTATTTTTTAGAGAATTAAGAGAGAGTGCTCAGACTCACACACATCACACACAAGCATGAATCGAACCCAAAATCTCCAGCCGAACGTCTAAAACTCGTTTGGCGTCTGTCGTTTGCTACAGTCGATTACCAAAAAAACGGCATTCACGTGAGGGTGAACAGTATGATGACGCACTGTTCACATGTTATTTTTTTTTAAATCCGAAAATTAGGTAAAATAAAGTATGAGAAAGAACATACATAGAATATTCTTTTTTCAGTGTTAGAAAATGGAGTTCGGGTAGAGACAAGTTACTATGTTTTATAGTATTACTATATTTTGGAACGAAATTTGAATTTTTCGGTTGGAGATGGCCTAAGCTTCAATGATAAATCATATAAGGCTTTGGGTGAGAGCTCCTCCTCGGTCTGAGTACGTTGGCTAGTTTAGTATTAACTTTAATTAGTGCATGTTAGCATGGTGAGTACATGTTGGACCTGATAGGTATGTGCTTGACCTATCAAGATCATGTTGAAGCTCACAGGTATGTGTTGTACCAAGAATCTTGACCCGATTTGGACCTAGTTGAGATCATTAAATATTTGAATATGCGTATCATAAATTAACTGATTTAAACTTATAGAATTGAGCTGAATTTTAAATTTAAACAAAATTAATTAGTCAACCACAAAAATGAGTGCCCAAGTTCACTTAGACTTCGTTTGTGATGACTTTCTTACTGCTTCTTAAAGTAGCTATTTTGTACAAAAAAGTTACTTTAAGAAGCAGTAAGAAAGTCATCCCAAACGAACCCTTAGTTTTACCTACCCTTTTGCCTGGTCAATACATGTTCCTTTGTTTTTCACCATCACTTGCCACCATTGAGACTCCAACTTCCCAGTCAACATGACACTCGTCATCTTTGAAAATCCATCTCATTCGTCATTACTCATCGTTGCTGAAACTCTTCGACCATTCTCAGCTGCTTATCGCGGTCAAGACCCTTCCTCAGCCATCCATCATTAATCGCTCGTCGCCCTTCAACCACCCATAGTTGCTCGCCTTCATTGATCATTCACCATTGTTGTAGGAGGAGGTCTCATTCATTCATCAAGAATCCATCCTCGCTAATTATCCTTCCGAGCTTGCATTATATCGTTGTTGTCATCGTTGTGAAAATGTGTTAAATCAGTGAAGAACAATAAGCACCTTTATAGTTTGTGTGTTTCTTAGACTTCGTTTGTGATGGTTTTCTTACTACTTCTTAAAGCAGTTTTTTATATAAAAATTAAAATTTTTGTAATAAAAAACTACTTTAAGAAGCAATAAGAAAACTATCCCAAATGAAATCTTAGGCTCATGTTTTAGTTCATATGATTATTGGTGTTTTAGTAATATGCAAATGAAATTAAGAAAATGATGGTAATGAGGAGGTGCAATCATTGTGATTTCTCCTTGTAATGTGTGGTTGATTCATAATTTCTTTATGTGCTTGTGTTTGGGTTTTCAACCCACCGTTGCTTAGCTCGTGTGGGAGAGAATCGGTTGGGCAAAGCTCAGGTCTCAGGTTCGAATTCCATGGGTGGTAGCGAAAGTCTTAAGTGTTGGCCCGGACTAATTGGTGTGGGTAGCCTGCTGGGTCGACCGGAATTTACAATCCGCTTTGCGGATTGGTTCCTCATCACAAAAAAGGGTTTTCGTGACTTGATAGGTTACTAGAGCTGCGGAAAAGCTCAAGTATTGGTATTGCCAAAATGGCTTGTAATGCTTCCAAGTGGTTTTAAATAAATGGCATTAGTGTTGCATTGCAGTTTGTAATGGCGTTATCTTTTTTGTTGATCATATAAGTGTATCTTAATAGAGTTTTGTAAAAAGTTGGGTAAAGAAATGAATTAGGTTTTAGATCATTGTGTGGAAAAAGAAAGAAAAATTGAAGACTTTGGCTTCATTTGGGGAGAAATTATTCTTTGAGTAGTCCAAATGTAGCTTCCCGTCTGGACTATAATCAGGTCTTGACACATTATTTTATTTTATTTTGTATACAATCACCTTGATTTTTTTATTAACGTGTGATTCGATGATCTGTCCCTGCTAATTCAATTAATAATAATTTTCTTGCAACCCGATGACCCGACCCAGTCCGAAGGTTATAGATTTGAAAAAAATAAAGGCGATGCGTCCGTTCATTTTTTAAAACCAGCAGAAGACCAATTTTTTTTAGGATTTTGGAGTTAGAGCTCTCATCTCGTTCAACAAAGATTACTATGTGCGGAATCCGAACTCTCACAGTGCTCTTTATCTTCAAGAAGGAACGGTCGATCATCGCTCTCTCATCCTCTTTAGCTGTTTAGGCTTTAGTATGAGGGACAAATTATTTTTGTGGATATTATGTAATTATAAACTTTTAGAGCTATCTTTATATCATATAAATTGTTCAATGTGTGAACTTGTATATTGTAAAAATTCCATAAGAAAAAAGCTAATAGCTTTTGTTAAGCTGTAGAAATAAGTGTCTATCTTAATTATATTCAACTATTAATTGGCTTGGAGGAAATACATAAATTTTATGGAGTTTGAGAATGTGAATAATAGTTCCAATATTGAACACTATGCACAAGCTTTGTGCACATACTGTGGACAACCTTATGCACAGTCTATGCTATACTTTATCACAGTGTGTACAAGTTTGTACACATACTATGTACAGCTTATGCACAGTATGTGTACAAGCTTGGAAGAATTATTATTTTATTTTTTACATAAACAACAACCAGAGCTATCAAATATAATCTATCAATATTAAACAGCAAAACAAGTTATATAATTTAAAACATCAATGTACACATATGTATTCATTTCCAAAAATTAACACTACTCAGGATTTACACAATCATATCATAACTACTCTGTCATGAGTACAAAGTAATAACTAAAAGAAATAGAACCTGAAGAATCCCGACCAGCCTCACACTCTTGCTCCCCTACCCTAACATAATCATTTAATCACATATAATGAGCTTAAAAAAGCTCAGCATGTCACCAAAATCTACAACTGAATTCAAAGCAAGGTAAATGAGCAATATGTATTTCAGGGATCAAATCATAGCAATAGTAATCATATGATCATTGAATTGATACATAAACAGTAAAATTCATATGTAATAATAGTTGAATTTATAAACGATAAAATACTATAATACGGAAGCTTGTAAAGTAGTAAACCAGTACGAGTGTTAAATCTATAAATCAATCGTCGTATCCATAATACAAATCAATATAGAAATCGTATAAAGCATCAAATCAAAATATCTGTAAAGAATGTCTAAATCAAATCAATGTAATAAAATCATATATGAATGTACACATGATATCTAAACATTCTATATCACGTGCTCAGCATATCACATGGTTAATATCAATATAGTGAATAAATAGTATTAAATAGTATCAATATGTAAATCAGTGGTAGGAGTAGTAGAATAATAAAATAATAATAAACCCGTGTAGTAACAATAAATTTGTACAATAATAAGAATAATGTCTCAAAACATACATTTCAGTAGTCACACAAAATAAATAGAAGTTATGGCTATCATTGTATTTTTCAATATTAGTATCAGTGTTAGTAAATCATTTACTCAGTAAATAGAGTCTTCACACTTTATCCGTCGGTACAGTAATGATCTCTTTATAACTCCCAATTAGTGTATTACGTAAATTAGTATAGAGTAACACCAACCCACAATATTTAAAGGAAAGCCTGTCGGCTCATCATCCTGTACAGATCAATCAGTCTCCAACAACGGGTCAACCAGCATTTACTTATTTATTTCACACACGTATAGTATTATCAATATACTATAACAGTAATAACGACCAGCTATTACTCATGCACATATCCGCATCCATTTTCAATACATTGTAGTTGATATATTCTCAAAAAATTATCTTGATCGGGCATGAATCTCGAGGCAAAATCGAGCAGGAAACTTCAAAAATTAAATTCGGGAGCATCTAAACTCCAATTTCAGCAAGCTTATAGTCAAACTGAGCGTCTCAGAAATACAAACCCAACGATACAAAACTTAACTCAATCCGAGCCTAAATGAGTCCAAATCAAGGACCCGAAGTGCTATTGGAAAGTTCGTACCATAATTTGAGTTACTAAACGGTCTCAGAACTTAACAAGCTTATAGTCAAATCGAGCAGCTCGACGAGATGAATGCAACGAACCTAAGATCGTCGAATTCTGACATCATTAAAACCTTTAAATGTCTGATGAACAGTGCACGATCAAGGGATTCAATATCAGCAGTCCATTCGACAACTCCCTATTTGCCCCTGCTATCACACCTATTTACAAGTTATGCCACTCCAGAAAATCTATAAATAGACTCCTCATTTCTCATGAGAGGGGACCCAAGCAAGAAGAAGAGAAGAAGAATAGAAGAGGGAAGAGAAGGATAGGAGGGAATAACTCCTCCTCGACCACCGCAGGAGTTCTTCCCAATGCCAAAGTGATGTCAAAATTCTGTCGGACGCCCGAGGGACGCCGGAATTCTTCCCAAGTGACGCTGAAATTCTACCGGACTTCCAAACGACGTCAAAATTCTACTCAACTTCGGAACGACGTCGAAACTCTACTCGACATTGTAACTGACTTTCAATCCTAAAGAGATTCATTGTAATATGATCGTCCTAAATTTTAAGGACGAATCAGCCTCTTGTACTTCAAGAGAACACTAGTATAACTATTTCAACTGGGCGTGGCCCCATTGTTTTTCCCCTTTCAGGGTTTTCCACGTAAAAATCCCGGTGTTGCTATTTCTCCTCTGTTTGTGTACTAGATATTCGTACAATGCTGAGACGGAAGTGTTTTAACTCTATCGTCGCGTATATTCTAGTCTGAAACAGTAGTAAATAATATATAATTGAGCTTAATTAAGAAGATGTCAAAATATTATAATAGTAGACAACAAAGAATTATGTTAGAAAAAAATACATATTTTTAAAAAAATATCAAAATACTATGAATTATATAAAATGATATTTTAAGACTTTTATTGTACTACACTATTTTTAGTGGTTAAAATAAATTTTGGGGTAGACAAAAATTGCTATGTTTTTAAAATCACCATGTTAAAAATCTCAAATAAATACTCAAAATGTTCATAATATTGATCTCTATAACATACGAAAGGTTAAGTGGTGAAAATTTTGCAAATACAAAATTATTCGCATTTTTTATTAATGGAAATACAAATTTGATCAGAAAAATATAAAAAACTTAAAATCTTTGAAATCAGAAATAGGGTAAAGATTTCTTACAGCGAGACGAACAAATATCCCAACTGTCCCGACGAACAAAATCGCAATACGACTTCCAAATCTAGGTTTCTTCTTTCTCTTTCTCTCACAGCTTGTACACGATATATGTACACCATCTACATTTGTTTGTACACACACTGTGCACAAGCTTGTACACATAGTGTATAAGCTTTTACATCCAATGTATATAATTTGTTTATAATTTAAATTAATACATATATACATATATTGTATATGTACATTCCAAAGTTTAGTTTTTGTTGTGCGCAAAGCCTCAATATTTACAACTATTTGCGACTCCTTAGTTGATATATTATGCGATGAAATGGAGGAAGCTTAAAAGAATTTAAACAAAATTTGATTTATTGTGTTCCCTCCATTTGAATATTTGAGCATAATATACGCCTGATATGCATGATGTTATTAGCATGGGATGGTACCAGCAAGCCTTCATCATCAAGGGAAATAAGCTAAATTTTACAGTAAATGAAGTTGTACAAGGTGAAAAGCCCTTATACACACATTATGTACAACTTGTACACCATTGTGTATAACATGTCACAATGTGCATACGACTTACACACAATTTGTGTACAACGTTGTACACAATGTGCATACAATTTGTACACAGAGTTTGTACAAATTGTACATAGTGCGCTTATAATTTTTTATTTTGTATGTCAACATTATATGGAAGTTATGTAATAACCATATCAATTAAGGGCAATGAATTTCACTTGTACACACACTGCGTACACACTGTGCATAAGATTGTACACACTAAGAGTATACAGCTTGTACTCAGTCTATCTACAAGCTTGTGCACATAACACATAATGTGTAAGGTGTACATAGAATTTGTATAACCATCTAATACGTGTGTACAAGCTTCTGCTCAAGGGGATCCACAAAAGGCACAGAAATCCCCTGGTACAAAAACTTTGTACATGGTGTAAACAATGTCTATAGCCTTATGTGAGCATCACTATTTCCAGAGGATTTGTTTATGAACTTACCGTCTGGTCTTTGCACATAATAATTTCACCTTTGTTAGAGGGCAACAATTTCAATTTAAGAAGTTGTCATAATAATCTATTTCCATCTATTTTATATTAACGAATTCAAAGAATGTTGACTGCTTATAACTTATTTTTATAATTAGTATAAGTTGTTATCATTGATTTAGAATTTTTATTTTTAATTAAGAGTAGTTAAAGACGCTCTTGAAAAAATAAAATGGAAGAGAAAAGTTAGTTCTTTTATTTTAAGAAAATATAGGAGTGCGTTTTACCAAAAAGAAAAAAAAAAAGTAAAAAAAAAAAATGCTGTTGATGTTATGCACGACTATTACTGCAAAGCGCTGATCCGACGGTAAAAAACCACTTTGTACGGTATTTTCTACATCGCATTGTGCTGAGTTGTTTTGTGTAAGATCGTTCGCGTGATTGTCTCTTATGGTGTTGTCATGTGCTCTGTCTCGCAACAGTTTGATGGTAAATACGTAATATTATAGTACTGTAGGGTACTGTAGTTTACAGCCTGGCTAAACCCTTTCCGTCTATAAATTTAAAACGCCGATGCTTCTTGGCCTTACTTCAACGTCAGTTCCAGAATCCGCCTCCAAGCATCTCCGGCCCGGCGGCTGGAGATTTTACTCCGGCGGCTGCTGAAGCGAGTGTAGGGTAATCGAAGGAGGTTTGTGGGAAGATCGAGCGAGGTATGGTGTAAAACTGAGCTCTGCGGCGAATGCCGGATCTTTGTTCCGTACTTCCGTTAAGCGTGGTCCCTGTTTATTTTATGTTCTAGGGCTGCTTGGGTTTAGTTAAAGTAGGATTTTGTAGATCATTTGAATCCATACTTTGTTAATACCAGATGCAAACCTCTTGATTTTCCTAAAAAAAAAACCTGGTTAGCTTAACAGTGGAAAATGAGATTTAGCATAAATTCTGTTTGGATAGATTTAGTATAAATCTTGTTTGTATAGATTTAGCATAATTCCTCTTTGTCACTAGAAAATTATGGCTAAAACTTGAAACCACTGCATTGTCAGAAACTGCATTTGTTTACTCAGAACACGTGATCGCGCGCGAAGCTACGTGTTCTGATTTCCTCGAGATATGGACTCGGTCCCCACGATTAATAATTTAATAAAGCGTGACATTGGGATTTGATCAACCTTTCCTCGGTAATCCTTCGACGCAGAGCCGGATAGGTTTTAGGTCTCAGGATCTCAATTACCAGGTTGCGTTATCTTGGAGGTATGGAGGGGTTTCCCAAGTAAAACTTCATTTCTTCAGTTTGATTGGAAAAACCTGTTCTATCTTACCTGTTGTTATTCTCTTCTTTTTTTTCTTCTAAAAAATAGAAACTTAATTTGTTTTTCCCCTCAAAATTAAATATTTAAATTTGTTAATATGTTGTTTATTGAATCAAAATCCTAAAAATATGAAATCATTTACTATTTCCAGATTGTTTCCTTTCTTTTGTTTTTATTATCTCTGTCCTAGGATAATAATCTTTTGATATTTTTTTGGTAAAATATTGTATCAAAATATTCCAATATAATTTATATTAGTATACAACAATAAGCTTTTATCACACTATGTGGGGTTGGCTACATGAATCATTTTTCTTATCTTATTAAGAGTCGAATTCTCATCTAAATTTAATAAAGAAAGGTCATTTCCAATATTTTCTAACCAAGTCATTTTAGGTCTACCTCTACCTGTCTTAACTTAATTCAAATCTAATACATCTACTTTCTTAACCGGGTTATCGGAAGGTTGTTGTTTTTTGTGACCAAACCATCTTAGAAGACTCTCTCTAATATTATCTTCTACTGAAGCTATTTCAACTTTTTCAAGTATATGCTCATTTTGTATTCTGTCTCTAAGAGTAAAGCCACTCTTCCACCTGAACATCCTCATCTTTGCAACATTTAAATAAATATTATGCTTCTCTTTTAATGACCAACATTCCGCACCATAAAGCATTGAGGGTCTCACTACCAACTTATAAAATTTTCCCTTAAATTTGAGAGGGACTTTTCTATCACACAACAAGCCCCATGCATTCCTCCACTTCAACCATTCAACTTGAATTCTACTAATAATATCCTCATCTATTTCTCCATCACTCTTAACAATAGACCCAAAATATTTAAAATGCTTACTCTTATTAATGACTTGATCACCTGAAATCACAGTCCCTCCACTAGATCTATTATTACTAAAATTATATTCCACATATTTAGTTTTAGGTCTACTCAAATAAAAGCCTTTAAACTCTAAGATTTACATCCGTAATTTATGTTTACCTTCAACTCATTCTCTAGTCTTATCAACAAGAAGAATATCATCAGCAAAAAGCATACACCAGGCTACAACCTTTTGCCAATGTCTAATGAAAACATCCATAACTAAAGTAAAAAGATATGGGCTTAAGGTTGATCCTTGATGTAATACAATTGAAATAGGAAAATACTTGGTCAAACCACCTTGTGTTTGAACACAAGTACCAGCCTTTGCATACAAATTTTTAATGACTTGAACATAAACATTATTAACTCCTTTCTTTTCAAGAAAATTCTTTATAGCACTTCTCTTGGAATTTTATCATATGCTTTCTCTAAATCAATAAATATCATATGTAGATCCTCCTTATTCTCTATATTTTTCTATCAAATCTCTCAATAAATATATGACTTTCATAGTAGACTTACCCGATATGAATCCAAATTGATTTTCAGAAACAATAGTATCACGCTGCAATCTACGCTCCATATTTGCTCTCATAGTTTTAAAGTATGACACATTAACTTAATTCCTCTATAATTCACACAATCTTGTGCATCACATTTATTCTTAAAATTAGGAATCAACGCATTTATTCTCCACTCATTTAGCATCTTTTTAACCTTCAAAATAATATTAAAAAGATTAGTAAGCCAAAAAACCTTTATCTTCTAAGTATTTCCACACCTTTATTTGAATATCATCAGATCTAACAATATTTTCACATTTCATTTTCTTTAAAGCCTTTTTAACTTCAATTTTACTAGTACGCCAAAAAAATAAAAATCTTCATTTTCATTTAGAGTACTAATGTCACTAAAGTCAATCGCATTCCCATAATCTTCTTTGAAAAGTTTAGCAAAATATCTCATCCATTTTTGTTGAACATCCTCTTCTAATAAAAGTATTTTTTGATCATCCTTAATATATTTCACTTTAACTAAATTCTTACTACTCATATTTCTTTGTTTAGCTAATTTGTACATATATCTTTTATCTTTTTTAATATCTAATTTATTATATAAATCATTAAAAGCTAAAATTTTTATATTGCAAATTGCTTTCTTAGACTCCTTATGGGCTCTTTATATCTTTTTCAATTATCATAATTTTTACAGCTAAACAATTTTTTTTATCAAATATACTTATTTTTTAATTTTTTTTTCACATTTTGATTTCACCATTAAATATTTTTACTATTGGTAACTTTTCTCTTTGATACTCCAAACACATTTTTTGTAACATTTTTAGTATCACTATCAACTTTTTTCTACATAACATTAACTTTCTCATACACAGACAAAATCTTAAAATATAGAATTTTACTCTCAAAAATATTTTTGTTAATATTCTTTAATTGCTTTCATTTAATCATAGAATAATGATTTATTTTATATTTTATCTTTTGCCTCTTCTTCTTAAAGTTTAAAATTAATAATTAATATTGAGTGCATAAATTTTGGCTCGGAATAATTTTACAATCTAAATGATATATTTTTTTAATAAAATATTATATAAAAAATTTTGATAGAATTTTTATTAATATGAGTTTGAAAATTATTAAATTTATTTTTATTACATTATAAAAATAAATCTATTCATTTTCAAATCAAGCAAAACAAATTTAATAATTTTTAAATTCATACAAATTGGGATATTCTGACAAATTTAATTAACTTAGCTTAAATTAATTTACTAATTAATTGAATAAAAAAATCAAATTAGAAATTCAATCTTTAAATAATTTAATAATTAATTAACCTAATTAAAAATAATAATAAATTAAAATTTTAATAAATCTTCAAACAAATTAAATTTTAAAGCTAAAAAAATCTTTAACTAATATTTAATATTTTTAAAAAATTTAAAATTAAATATAAGCTTTTAAACAGATGTTAGCACATAATGAATAAAATTAATGTTGAAAGTAAAATTAGCAAGTAAAGATAAATACTGCAAGCGGAGCAAAGTGCTGGAAAGCTAGTAAAGAACAAACAACAATGCTAAAGTAGCGTAACAAACAACTGTAATAGAAAACGTTACGAGCATAAAATAATAAACACACTACTGAAAGCTAAAGTAGAAAATAATTGTTGGCTAGTAAGTGTCAAAATAATAATTGCATGTTAGTACTGAGGCAAAGCTGACAATATAAGATGCTGATGCTGGTGTCTAAACACTGAAGCGTGTAAAACATTAAACTCCTAACACCCCAACAACTTTCAATGGAAGCCATAAGTTTGACTTAAGGGGAAAGCTTTAGGTAAAAATGACCTAACCTCATCTCTGATTAACACTTTGACAACTTTTAATAGAAGCCACAGTTTGACTTATGAGGGAAATGCCTAGATAACCCTAGACCCCTTACACAAGCATCCTAGAATATAGAGTTAGGTTGTAAGACCTATCATATGGGCCACTTAGCTTACAGGGCTAGGTCGTAAGACTTGTCGTCAGACAACATTTAAGAAAGCAATAAGACTTATCCAACCAAAACTCTCATGCATCCTAGTCTATAGGGCTAGGTTGTAAGACCTATCATACAGGTCACTTAGCTTACAGGGTTAGGTCGTAAGACCAGTCATCATGCAACTTCTAAGGAAGCCTAAGACCTATCCATTCAAAACTCTCGAGCATCTTAGTCTATAGGGTTAATTTATAAGAGTCGTTATTTGGGTCACCTCTAATAGAGACCGTAAGACCCACTATTAGGGGTACTTTCAAATGAAAGTCATAAACTCCTACCTAAATACAATCACACGGGAATCAATAGTTGTTAGTATTGATAGACTGAAATCCATGATATGTCCGAGACGACGGAACCTTGGGATCCTAATCAGTTACCATAGGGCCTGGCCCAGTTTGAATGAATCCACTAATATTTGCAATCGATTACAAATGAGGCCCTTCCTTGGGAGAAGAAATTGGCTTGATGGTACAAATGTACATCATATAGAGCACATTACATGGTGAGATTTACAATATAGACATGTTTGTTTGGTCGGCACGACCATAGTCGATAAGATAGTGGTCGGAAAGACCATTGTCTGGTTATAGAGGTCGGAAGGACCGTAGTAGGTAACGAAGGTCGGAAGAACCGTAGATGGCAGGAGATAGTGGTCCAAAAGATCGTAATTGGTAGGAGACTGGAGTCAAAAAGACTGTTATTTGGTGATGGAGATCGGAAGGACTGTAGTAGGTTACGGAGGTCGGAAGGACCGTAGTCGGTAGGAGACAGGGGTTCGAAAAACCGTAGTTAACAGAAGATCGAGGTCAGAAATACCGTTGTCTGGTGATGGAGGTTGGAAGGACTGTAATAGATTACGGAGGTGGTGTTTTGGTAGAGCATAGGGCCTCAAGTGGTGGTCCGGCGGAGCAACGACGTCAGGCGGTGGTCCGGTGGAGGTGAGGGCCTCAAGTTGTGGTCTGGCGAGGGTGAGGGCCTCAAGCAGTGGTCAGGCAGTGGTCTGGCGGAGGTGAGGGTCTCAAGTGGTGGTTCGGCGGAGCAACGACGTCAGGCGGTGGTTCGATTAAGGTGAGGGCCTCAAGTGGTGGTCCGGCGAGGGTGAGTGTCTCAAGTGGTGGTACGGCGGAGCAACGACGTAAGACGGTGGTCCGACGAAGGTGAGGGCCTCAAGTGGTGGTCCGGCGAGGGTGAGGGTGTAATGTCCCATGATCTAAGTGAAAGAATATATATATATATATATATATATATTTATATATTTATTTATTTATTTATATTTATTTATTTATTTATTCCAGATCAATACAAACATCTAGAGTTGATATTGCATTAAAGAATGTAAATAAAATATAAAACATAATCGACATTATGACAGTTCATAATTACAATCCACAAGTAGCTACCAGAAGAATATATACAATGGCCACACTGGCTACAAAAATACATGAACCAAAAGCTAACAAAAATTATATTAGTGTCAGTATAAAGCTTCACGCGGCAGGCTATTTACATGAAATCAATTAATCACATATAATTAGCCTAAAAAGCCCAACAGGACATCAAAATCTAAAACTGAATTCAAAACACGGTAAAAGAGCAATATGCATATTAAGGATCAAATCATAGAAGTAGCAGTTGTATGATCATTGAATATGTGCAAGAATAATAAAACTCAAATACAGTAGCAGAAGAATCTGTAAATAATAAAATACTACATAACGAAAGCCAGTAAAGCAGTAAATTAATACGAATGTCAAATTTATAAAACAATCGTCGTATCCATAATATCAATCAATATAAAATCATATAAAACGTCAAATCAAAACATCATTAATGACTGTTGAAATCAAATCAATGTAGTAAAATCATAATTGAAGGTACACATGCTATCCAGTTATTCTTTATCGCTTGCTCAGTGTATCACATGCATAAGATCAGTAAAGTGAAACAATAATATCAAATAGTATTAGTGTCTATATCAGTAACATTAGTAATCCGATGGTAGGAATAATAGAGTAATGCAATAACAGTAAGTCCGTGCAGTAAAAATAAATCTATACAATATTAAGAAAGATGCCTCAGAAATATGGATTTCAGTTGTCATACTAAACAAGTAGAAGTCCTGGCTATCACTCTGTTTTTAAGTGTTAGAATCAGTGTTAGTAAACCGTTGTTCAGTAAATAGAGTTGTCACCCTTTGCTTGTTGGCATAGTAATAATCTCCTTATAACTCTCAATCTGTGCATCACGTGAATTATTATAGGATAACACCAAACCGTAGTATTTAAAGGAAAGTTCGTTGGCACACCATCTTATAGGTAAATCAATCTTCAACCAACGGGTCAACCAGTCTTTACTTGTTTGTTTCACACACGTATAATATTATCAATATATAACAGTAATAGCGACCGACTATTACTCAAACACATATCCACATCCATTTTCAATGCATTATAACAAATATTGTAAAATTAAACTTAATTAAAAAGATGCCAAAATGTCATAACTGTATTCAACAAAGAATTCTATTAGAGTAAAATGCACATTTGCATAAAATTACTAAATTATCAGAGATAATATAAAACGACATTTTAATACTTTTATTCTACCACGCTAGTATTTTTAGGGATCAAAATAAATTTTGGAGTAGACAAAAATTCCTATATTTTCAAAATAACCAGGTGAAAAATCTCAAATAAATACTCAAAATACTCATAATCACAGTCTCTATAACATACAAAAAGTTACGCACTGAAAGTTTTGTCAGTACAAAGTTATGCACGTTTTTCAGTAACGAAAACTCAAATTTGAGCGAAAAAATACCAAAAACACAAAATATTTGAAATCAGAAATAGGCTATGGATTCCTTACAGAAAGACGAGCGATTATCTCAACTACGACGACGGACGAAAATCATACCACGGACTCCAAAATCTAGCTTCCTCTTTCTCTCTCCTCACAAAACCTTCTTAAAACCCTCACGGCTTCTCTGTTTGCTGAATGACTTCAGGGAGAAGGTTTTAAAATCATTTGAGTGACTTTAGATATTTTAGAATAAAATAATAATACAATATTATATAATTAATTTAAATAATTTCTTTTAGTATAAAATTCAAATAATTCATTTCAGGACTCAGAAAATTACATAAAAATATTCATAAAATAAATCATAATATTTAAAAAATATCGATAAAATCGGTTTATAAAATAGACACCTAAGCTCCCGAAATCCTAATTTGTACCGACATGTACAAATTCTTTAAAGATTTTCATCAGTGTCCAAAAATTACAAAAAATTTATAAAAGTAAAGTACTTCAATCAAAATACTATGCGAAGACGGATTACAATTTGGAGTTATAATGAATCCCGAAAAAAATGGGCAAATCAAAACACAGGATATTACAGAGGGCCTCAAGTGGTGGTCCGACGAAACTCCGGCGGTGGTCGAGGAGGAGCTTATTCCTTCTCTTCCTTCTCTTCTCTTCTTCTCTTCTTGCTTCGGTCCCCTCACAATAGAAATGAGGGGTCTATTTATAGATTTCCTGGAGTGGCATGGCCCGTAAGCAGATGAGAGATCAAGGGTAAATGCGGAGTTGTTGGATGAACGGCCGATGTTGAATCCCTTGATCATGTACCGTTCGCCAGACATTTGAAGGTCTTAATGATGTCGTAATTCGGGGATCTTGGGCTCGTTGGATTTGTCTCGTCGAGCCGCTTGATTCGACTATAAGCATGTCATTTTTGGAAACCGTTTGGTAATCCAAATTGTGGTTCAAACCCTCCAACAACGCTTCAGACCCTTGATTTGGACCCATTTGGGCTCGGATTGAGTTGAATTTGGTGTCGTTGGGTTCGTATTTTTGAGACATTTAGTTCGACTATAAGTTTGCTGAAATCGGAGTTTGGATGGTCCCAATTTTAATTTCGGAAGTTTCCAACCTGATTTTGCATTGAGATTCGTGCTCGATTAAGATAATTTTTTTGATGACGTATCAATTAGGTTGTTACAGGTTAGCAGTATGGAGATATTCTGGTTTAGTCTATCACAATTGTTGGCTCCCCAATTTTACTTATCCGTCTCATTTTATTTTGTCTATATATTAATTGTCTGATTAATTTTTCTATTCAGCTATATACTACTTATGTTGAAGTCTTTGTTGGAACAGCAGTTGCTGGACCTTACACATTTAATCTTTTTCCTTTTCTCAGCACAAAGTATTAACTATGTCGGATCTTCGGGCACCGCTTCGACCGAAAAGGAAGAAGGATATTGTGGACTTTTTGGTTCACTTCCGATGGATACTTGTCATCTTTGTTGTCCTCCCAATTTCTTTTACTGTCTACTTCCTTACTTACGTTGGTGATGTAAAATCTGCAATGAAATCTGAGAAAAAACGACAGGAGGAACATGAAGAAAATGTCAAGAAAGTTGTGAATCGTCTCAAACAAAGAAATCCAACGAAAGATGGTCTTGTGTGCACTGCCAGAAAGCCATATATTGCAGTGGGCATGAGGAATGTTGATTATAAACGTGCTAGGCATTTCGAGGTTGATTTGGCAGCATTTAGAAATATCCTCGAAATTGATAAAGAGAGGATGGTTGCCAAGGTGGAGCCTCTTGTTAATATGGGCCAAATTACAAGAGCTACTGTTCCGATGAATTTAGCCCTTGCTGTTGTCGCTGAGCTTGATGATCTCACGGTTGGTGGTCTAATCAATGGCTATGGCATAGAAGGAAGCTCTCATATATACGGTTTGTTCTCTGATACTGTTGTTGCTCTAGAGGTTGTGCTTTCTGATGGACGTGTGGTCAGGGCAACAAAAGATAATGAGTACTCAGACCTTTTCTATGCTATTCCATGGTCTCAAGGAACACTTGGGCTCTTGGTTTCTGCAGAGATTAAGCTCATACCTGTTAAAGAGTACATGAAACTAACTTACAAACCAGCAAGAGGAAACTTGAAAGAACTTGCACAGGTATATGCTGATTCTTTTGCACCAAGAGATGGAGACCAATCAAAGGTTCCTGATTTTGTTGAGGCGATGATATACAATCCTACGGAAGGTGTCTTCATGACTGGAGTATATGCTTCTAAGGAAGAGGCAAAGAAAAAAGGAAATGTAATCAACAACCAAGGATGGTGGTTTAAGCCCTGGTTTTACCAACATGCTCAGAAAGCACTAAAGAAGGGTGAGTTTGTTGAATACATTCCAACCAGAGAATATTATCATAGGCACACAAGATGTCTGTATTGGGAGGGAAAGCTTATATTGCCATTTGCCGATCAATGGTGGTTCAGGTGGCTTCTTGGTTGGATAATGCCTCCAAAGGTTTCACTGCTTAAGGCCACACAGGGAGATGCTATTAGGAATTATTATCATGACAGGCATGTGATACAAGACTTGTTGATTCCTCTTTACAAAGTTGGAGATGCTCTTGAATTTGTTCACCAGGAAATGGAGGTAACTCTGTCTCACAACTTTCATTAAATAGAGGATATATTTTGTACATAATTATGATAAAATATCTTTTTGTTAAATTGTGAAGGTATTTCCTTAATATCATTTTCTTATACAATGCACTACATATTGGATTAATTATTAAACTTGTTTATGAACTTTTTTTGTCATGATTTGGAGTTATTTTACAAGAACTTTCGTGTTGCCATCATTTTTTGGGGGTTTTCCTTTATAATTTCATGCATTATTTGTTCACCATATCTGCAAAACCCTGAATAGCAGTGATTTATTATTATGATGCTCTATCATTATGACAATACGTTGTTATCCTTTTTTTGCTCACTTTTCATGCTATAAATAGGCCTTGTATATATTTCTTGTTTCCATCATATTTTTTAGGGTTTCCTTTTAAATTTTGCTTCATTACGAGTATTACCATAAATATTTCATAGTACTTGCAAATCTCTGAATACCAATAATTCATTATCATGATACTCTATCATTATGGAGAATATTTTATATTCCTTTTGTTCTCCATTTTTCCTAACAAATAATTTTTGTTTATGTTGTATATTCATAAAAAAATAGAGATCAATTTCTTTCCAACTTCTGCTATTCGTAACATGGTATTATAAGCTAAAATAGTGCTTTATTTTCCCAAAAGCCACATTTTGTCGACGCCTTTGAGATCTTCTTCATTATCACAATCTACCACTGTTGGGGCCTCTTTTTGGCGATTCCACCTACTTTCAACATAACTTGTTGTCAATCACTGTATACTCCATGCGTTCTTGGCACCATCACAATCGTCTACTAACTTGATCATGATTTTGTGTTGCTCAATCATAGGCAGCTTGCTATCATGATCTTGTGGTCACATTGACGTTCCAATCCCTGCCCATTGTTGATCGCCACATTCCTTCTATGCAAAATCATAACTGCTAATCACTCATCATCACTTCCACTAAATCTAGAAAATTTGTTTGTCCCGCGATCATGATCTGTCACTTGCCCTTTGTTATCTAACTTGCTTTTTTTTTTTTAAGGTCGTTCATGACTCTTTGCTGATATAATAACTCCAAGGAAGCATCATTCAAGTGCTTGAACCCATTTAGGGATGCAATAGATCATAACTCAATTTGTGCCTCAAGTTTTATTCATATAACTAAAATTCGATCTACAACCTCTTTGATTTATGACTTTGCTATGTGGCTCTATTCAACTATCTACTATCTTGCTCTCTTCTACCATGCAATCCTAGTCAATTGCACTTTGAATCCCATCAAAGCTCACTATTTTACTTAGTTCAAAGAACTGCCATTCATTCTATTGCGATTACTCTAAATTCCTCCAATTATACTCTCTAGAGTAAGGAAATGTCTATATTTTTTCAGGGGATATTAAATTTAGGAGTATGTTTGTCAAAGAATTTGCACTCACCAGACTTCTAGATGAATATGATTAAATTGTTCTCAAATGTGAAAAGGATTAAGTTGCAACAAATCATAAGGTTATTAGCTAAATCAGTATCACATCCACTCCTACCATTCACTCTCATCTTCGTAGCTATTATACAACTAAGGTTGTTTGGGATTTTCTTGCCACTCAATTCTCTACTAGTGGGCTGTAACGTTGACATCTACTGTCACATTCTTCATAATCTCAGAGTGGCCCCTAGAAAACCATCAATGCTATTTCAGCTGAAAGTTACCTATTTAGGCCCAACTTAATCCAGCCTTGGTCAAAGTTAATATTCGGGCTATTCTTGATCATTAAGAACATGATCGCTCATTCATTTCCCGGTGGTTTTCTCTATTCTACAAAACAATTTAGGTGTATTTGTTCCATTGCAAGCCTTCTTTCCCCAAGTTGGATATCGCCATAATTAAATATAACTTTAAGAAAACATGCCTTGGCACATCAAAAGTTTGTCATTTATGAATCTTCTATTATTGATTTTGCTTTGTTACGTTTGTTTCTGGATCTCGCTTTGAGCTAGCTTATTCATAGTTGTCTTGAATGAAAATGTTGCCATTGCTTCAAATTGATTCATGACACCACATTAATGAATGTTTCAAAGCCCATCTTATACAATCTCCTGGAACTCATTCCACTTGAATTATATTTTTAAGTCTCATGCGTTTTATGTCATCAAGTCATCTGTTATATCAATCGTTTAATCTACACTATAAATGGCATTAAACGGTCCGTCACTCATACTCATATGTCATCTCTTATTTTATCTTTTCTTTACACATGCCTAACTATCCTAATAAAAACTCAATCTTGTTTTTGTTAGGCAATTATATGAACTTAGATGCGATGTTATAATTTCTCTAGATATCTTATGCAGCAGGATCTTGGTACAGGGTAGATTCTTAGGATATGATGTAGAGATGGTCGTTTGTTTGCTCTTATCAATCTCAATATACCATCATATGTTTCTTCTATGGGTATCCGTTGTTTCCACCACTTCCACAGCATTCAATCTTTGACATTTTCGTCTTGAACATGTTTTGTCTGGCTCATTATATAAATTTGTTTCATGGTCATTAGTGATCAGTCCACAATTATATCAATGTTTGTAGTTCATTTTAAACGTCAAAACAATTAGATTTACTTTTTTTTTTAACGAAGGTAACCCCTATGCTAATGCCCCATTTGATCTTGTTGAAACATATGGACCTAGCCTGCATCCTACTATGGGTAGTTTTTGATATTTTATTACCTTTATTAATGATTATTTTTGTTTTAGTTTGCTTTTATTTATTAAAAAAAATTAGAATTTTTTGAATTTATTTTAATTTTATTGCTATGATTCATACTAAATTTTCATGTTTTATAAAATTTCCCTATTTTTTTTGTTGATAAGACTAGAGTGGGAGTTGAAGAAAAACTTGAATTATGGAGCTCAACTTTAGAGTCTAAAGATTTTCATTTGAGTAGATCTAAAGCAAATACATAAAGTGTACTTTTTGTAGTAATTGATCTAGTGGGGGGATTATGACTTTGGATGATCAAATTATTAATAAGAGTATACATTTTAGATATGTTGGATCTATTGTTCAAAATGATGGTGAAATAAATGGGGATATTTTTAGTAGAATTCAAGTTGGATTGTTGAAGGGGAGGAATGCATCGGGACAATTGTGTGACAGAAAAGTATCCCGCAAACTAAAAGGAAAATTTAATAAGATAGTGGTCAAACAATGCTTTATGGCACATAATGTTGGCTAAGATGTGGATGCTCGGGTAGATGAGTGACTTGACTCTTTGAGACATAATGAAATAAATATATACGTGAAAAGGTTGGAGTAGCTCCAGTGATTGATAAGGTTAGAGAGAGTTACCTTAGATGATTTGGACACCTAAAATATCGGCCTTCTGAAGACCCAGTTGGGAGAGCAAATGTATTAGATTTAGTCTATGTTAATAAAGGTAGGTAGACCTAGAAATGCTTGGTTATAAAATATTTGAAATGTCCTTTTTTTTAATAGATTAATGAGAAATTGACTCTTAAATAATGAAGAAAAAGGATTCATGTTCTTGGCATCACAAAGTGGAATTAAGGGTTGTTGCTGTATAAAATCTCCCTACTTTGAGGCAAAATATAACTTTCAATACTTTTGTATTGTTATATATCTTCAGAATGGTCAAGTTGAATATGAGCATCATCATATTCTTGGCATCACTCAAGTTTTAATTCTTTTAACCTCATTTCTTGAGTATTGTTCGGTGAAAACCACTCTATCTATGCCATAATCATATTCTCTGCACCAACATTGCCAAATAATGTCCCCTATGCACGTCTTTATGGAAAGGTCCAAAACTTCTCTGTTGTTTGAATTTTTGGTTTTGCTTGCTCTTTTATTCTTCAAACTTCTGTGTGAAACAACTATCAAAGTTTATAAAGTCTTTATTTCTTCTAATTGATGATTCATCTACAACTATACTTCCTGAACAAACACCTCATCCAGTTCCTGATGTCCTTAATTTCGTCAATCTACTCATTTTGCTAAAGTTAATCCTCTATCTTATCTTCAAGAAAATTTGCATTATTACCCAACTATCTTTCTGCTTATTTCCGAAGCCTCATATTTATGATGAGATCTCTGTTGACTCTCAATGTAAGTCATGCAGGAACAACTTAATGAGTTATGCCAAACTTTTGCTTGTTGATATTTTATTTGCCTCTTTGGATTTGCAGGGCATAAATCCCTGCATTGCAGAATGCTTTAAATTGTTTTGTACTTCTTTTACTGCCCTCTTTTATGCCTATACACAGGCCTTTTATATGATGTATATTCATCAAGAAATAGAGATTAAGGCTTCGTTTGGGACTACTTTCTTTCTGCTTCTTAATGTAGCTTTTTAGTATAAATTTTTTAATTTTTTACTAAAAAATTACTTTATAAAGCATTAAGACAGCCATCCCAACAAATTTTTGTACTAAAAAACTACTTTATAAAGAAGAATTGTTTATACTATCTTGTATTATCTACTTCTATTGCTTTTGTTATAGCTTTATAGATCCAAAATGATTTGAGAGAAATCACCAACGAATGCTTCAATTCTGAGCTAATTTGAATCTTACCAGGTTTATCCCATCTGGCTCTGTCCGCATCGCCTGTTCAAACTCCCTCTGAAAACCATGGTGTTTCCAGAAGCAGGCTTTGAACTCCACCACAGGCAGGGAGACACGAGCTACGCCCAAATGTTTACCGACGTCGGCGTATACTATGCTCCGGGACCGGTCCTTAGAGGCGAGGAATACAATGGCGCGGAGGCTGTTCATCATCTCGAGCAGTGGCTGATTGAAAACCATGGATTCCAACCCCAGTACGCAGTTTCTGAACTCAGTGAGAAGGATTTCTGGAGAATGTTTGATGGGAGCCTCTATGAGCAATGCCGCAGGAAATATGGCTCTGTGGGAACCTTTATGAGCATCTACTACAAGTCAAAGAAAGGCAGAAAGACTGAGAAGGAAGTTCAGGAAGCTGAGGCTGCTATCCTCGAACCTGCAGAAGCTGAAGTGGCCTAAGCGATCTGCTAATGTCAGGGAATAAAGAATCTCAACTTAAGGTCGGATTCTTTGGCTAGCTTTTATTCCAAGATTGGCAGGTTTTATCCTCTCTCTCTTTGAAGGTAGTTTTCTTGTTTGTCTTTTGGTATTTCTGTTATTGAATGGGTTGTGCTTCTGCGCTTTCCTGTTTCCTGTTTCTTGTTTACTAGTTATCGGAACGGAACCTGACTGATAATTTTGCTAATATTTTCGAATGCTTATTGGAATTGCTATAATATGGGTTTACTTCTGCTTATTTGCTTATTAGCTTTTGTTTTGTTCTGCTGATTTTTTGCGCGTTTTTTTATTACTTGTTTAGCATCTTATTTTTTTACCCAGGTAAATTAAATTGTACTAAATGAAGCCTTAAATTGTTGAGAAATTATTTTGTGCGAATACCAGACTGAGAGAGCCGCTCGGATTTGCTGAATTTTTGCTGCACTTTTGTAAAAATTTATTAAATAATTGAATATTTATTATGTTTTTGCAAAAGAACAATAAAAGTCCAATAAAAATGCATTCATAGTTGAATATTTGCAATTCTTTTACCGACCTTTTGTTAAAACGTAGCAAATTCGTGCGGTTCTTTCCGTCCAGTGTCCGCACATAATAATTTTTCTAAATTGTTGACCTACTTCCTGGTGATGATTTTTGTTCATCAAGCTGGAGGATATGTTTTCTCCAATGGATAAATTAACATTATTCTTGTCAGTATTTATCAAATCTCACTGTCACTTATTGTTGTCAGTTTTTATCAAATCTCACTGTCTCTGCATCAAAACTCTTAGATTGTCTTTGTACTACTTTTGTGCTAACTTTTTCAAATAAATGGGATGGGGACCATAGAAAATGATTGATGGTGTTTTGGGGTTTGAGCAATATTACAAATGAGATGTGGCAAATGGGAAAGTCAAAATAGAGAGAGGCTTTGTTGCGTCTCTCATTTTTATTCTATTTTTCTTTCATTTATTTCGTCTATTGCCACCCCATTTAAAGTTAATCAAGGTATTCATGCGGGCAGAGTGGCATTTATCTTTCTGCTTTTCTGTGGTAAGTATAACAACAAGAGAATGCCTTTGGTGACAAGAGGCGAGCTATTGTTGATCATCCAATACTTTTGGCGAGCTATTGTTAGGTGGTGGGTGACTTTTTATATCTTTTAGGTTTTATTTGGGACGACTTTATTATTGCTTTTTAAAGCAATTTTTTAGTATAAAAATTTAAATTTTTATATTAGAAAGCTGTTTTAAGAAGCAATAAAAAAGTTGTTCCAAACAAAACCTTAATTTAATTTAATAGCTTATTATTTAAGATCAAATTAAGGTTAGTGCTTAGGTGGAAAACTAGATTACTAGAGGGTTGCTCTAATGTAGGGATTGTAATATTGGTGTAAGTTTTTCCTTCACCTATGAAGGGATATTTATATTTTACAAAAGCTTGAAGTGTTACAAATGTTTTTTTTTTTTTTTTTTTTTTTTTTTTTTTTTTTGAAATTCTTAGATTTTCCTATGAAACTTCTTGATTATTTAATACAATGAATTGCATTTATTTTTTAGAAAATTTATAAATCTTCATACAAGCTAGAGGTGCATGTGGCACATGGCCAAGCGTTAGCATCACTTGATGACGAGAAATTATTATATCCGGTCAAAAATCGAACAGTCCGAATGTATACCGAGCAATACCGAGTCCAAAATACCGAGTTTTAGGTGATGTGGCACGTGGTTATTGGTCTATGAACGCATTCGGACACCGGATGTAATAATTGCTCGTTGGTGACAGGCAATTGGTCGGCAAACCCGAGCAGTTTTTCTAGCATTTTGTCATTGGAATAATTTTTTTGATATTATGATCTCAATTTTAACGCTTGAAATTTAACGAGATTCGAAAAAAAAAAAATCTTCAAATTGACACACTAACTTAAGGAAAGATTAAAATTATGATTTAGCAGTCTTTGCTTTATTCAAATTCTCTGAAAGGATATTCATGTCGTCAGCACGTGGTAGATGAAGAGTGGTTTAGCGACCAATTTTTCACCATTCACCCATCATTTCAGCTACACCTGATTAGGGAGGGACCTTCCTATTTTTAGTCATTTGTGATGTGTTATACCTTTTCTTTGTATTTTAGTGACGTAGAACAGGAATTTTTATTGGGTCTGGTAATCTGATATAGAGATACATCAGGTACCCAATAAAAAAATGCCACATGCACTTACTTTTTGTTTAAAGCTGAGTGCTTTTTATTGAAAGTGCATGTGACATTTTTTTATTGGGTACCTGATGTTTCTCTACATCAGGTTACCTGACCCAATAAAAATTCGTCGAATAGGGAGTAGATATGTTGTTGGTTGTACTAGCTTGTTTTTTATTTTTTATTTTTGGGATATTTAGGCCAATTAAGTCAAACTCACACAAACATCATATACACAAAGACTCGAAAGTTAAAACAAATAGATCAGCTCGCGCTAGGGTTTTTCCTTGTGGCTTTTCGCGTGGGATTTCTGGCGGCGGGTTCTCCCCGCCCCTCGGGGGGCTGCTGTCGTCGGAGTTCCGTCTGCTCTCAGGGAAGTTTTTTGTTCCTTACTTTTCTTTGTTTGGTGTATTGTTGTTTTGGTGGTGTTGTGCTGCCCCTGCCGGTGGTTCCGACATGGTTTCTTCTAAGCTTAGAGACCCTGGTTTCTTGGGAGGGGTTTCTCATTCTCGGTCTTTTCTTCAAGCTTTGGCTGGTCCGAAATCTTCTTTTCCGGATCTGCATGTCTCTACTTTCCGTGGAATCCCGTCTCTTTGGGTGTCTGATGAGGAAATCTCTGAGCTAGCAGCTCCTTTTCAATTCTCCCTTGTTGGTTTCTTCCCTGCCAAAAGACCTTCGTTGGAAGCCATTCGCAAGTTTTTCTTTAATTTGAAGTTACAGAATGAGGTTTCGATTACGATTTTAGATCAATCGCATATTTTGATTAAGTTAGCGGATGACCTAGATTACTGTAGAGTGTTCTGCCACCGTTCGTATTTTGTTTTTAACTGTTTTATGAAATTGACGAAATGGTCGCCGACTTTGGACATTGGTGTTGAGTCACCGGTGATTCCCATCTGGATCTCCTTTCCTCGTCTTCGTCCCCACTTTTTTTCGCCTCGGATTCTATCTGGCCTTGGTGGTTTGTTTGGGAAACCTCTTAAAATCGATGAAGCTACGGCTATTGGTTCCCGTCCGTCTATTGCTCGTGTGCTTGTTGAGTTAGACATTACGAAATCTTATCCTAAGCTTGTTTGGTTAGCAATATTTATCATCATAAAAAAGAGGATATTATTTTAATCTGGAAGCCCAAGCATATGTTTTGATGAATGCAAATATTATTGGAGTTTACTTAGGTTCTCCTACTTGTTAAGATTGCAAATCATTTTTGTATGCACTAACATTTCATATATAATATATGCTAAACACTGATAAAGGAACATGACCTAATAGTGGGTAGTCTATGATTGATGTTTGTAAGAGTTTGTAATTTTATCTTTCTTGAGTCTATGAATTAAATTAAGTGTATGTTTAGCTTAACAATCATGCACACACATAAAGGAGAAATTAAATGTGTTAATTTTTCTTAATTGATCGTATTATACGATCTAAATTATACTTGACGATCTGAGTAAAATAAAAATTAATTAAAATATTTAATTAAAGAAATTTCATTTTTAACTAACTTTTTTGTATGATTATAATTGTGCAGGACGATAAATTGTAATTATGAAATCCAATAGGCAATCATACAATAGGCAATATTTTAATATTTGAAAAATGAACTATTCATACTATGATTACAATCGTATTGTACGATATAACTAAATCTTGTACAATATAATCCTCTAATTAATTGAGATTTGAGATCATATTGTATAATACTAATCTTCGTATAGTATGACCCGATTAGGTACTAAGATGATATTTAGTCGCTAACGATCATACGTGATAAAAATCTTATTTGATTGAACTAATCATAGTGTATGACCTCTTGTATCATACTAGACGATAAGTTCAAGTCTTTGAACTAATACTAATGTACAACCTTCAAATCCTACTATACGATCAGAGATGGCTTACTTAAAATTTTAGAGTTTTTTGGAAGCCTTCTATTTAAGCTCTCTTATTTGACTTTGTAAAGGTCTTTGGCTGTTTCGAGAATTTAGAGATAGTTCTTTTTGAGGTCTTCTCTTCTTGAGAAAGCTTGAAGAGAGAAAACTTAGATCTTGTAAGAGAATGGGGAGAAGTTGAATGTGAGGGAGAAGTAGTGTGCAGAGATTTCATACGGTTGCTCTGAGCAAACTTCTACCTTAGGTCCTCCATGTTCATTGATCTTAAGGGAATATTTGTTGAAGAAAGCTTTCGAAGCCAAAGATCGTAGGCACTCCATCACACTAGGAGAAGTTGAAAGGGATTCAGGTTCTTTTCCTCACTAAGAGGGTGAAAAGGATTTTGGTTCTCTACCTCACTAGGATGGTGAAAATGATTCTGGTTCTCAATTGCGCCTTGGAAGGGTGAAAGTATTTGTGTAAAGGCTTCTCCATCCTGCTAAAGGGTAAAGGCTTCTCTGATTTTCTCCCATGATGATATTTAATCGCCACCAATCATACTAAACGAAAATCCTATTTGATTAAACCAATTGTATTGTACGACCCTTCATATCACACTGGACAATTAGTTCAAGTATTTGAACTAATCATACATCCCCTTATTAATCGTATAAAACTAATATGATGAATTGAATTAATCAGATTATACGATCCCATATCGTATTTTATGTAAAAATTTAGGATTTTTAAGAAGCCTTGTATTTCTTTTAGACTTAAAAAAGTCTTTGGTTGTTGAGAGATTTTCTATGAGAGTGCTTTGAGAGTTTATTCTCTTGAGAGATCTTGGAGCTTGAAGAAGGAGAAAGAGAAGTTGTGTGTGCAGGATAAGTAGTGTGAGGGGATTTTATGTTGTTGCTCTGAGAAAGCTTCTGCTTAGTTTCTCCATGTGTCCTTATTGATCTTGTGAGTTAATCCAAAAAGAAAGCATTCAAGGTTGAAGATCATTTAGGTTCTCTGCCTCGCCAGTATGGTGAAAAGGGTTCAAGGTTCTCTTTTTCACCGGGAGTGTGAAAAGGATTTTAGGCTCTCTACCTTACCAAGAGAGTGAAAAAGATTCCAAATGCTCTTCCTCACTGAAAGGGTGAAAAGATTTTGGTACTCTACCGTATCAGAT